CGCAGCGGTGGCAGTTTTGGGGACACCGCAGTGACAGTTTTGGGGACACCAGGGTGACATTTCTGGGGACACGGCGGTGGCAGTTTTGGGGACACCATGATGGCACAGGGTGACATTTTTGGGGACGCGGCGGTGGCAGTTTTGGGGACACGGCGGTAGCAGTTTTGGGGACACCAGGGTGACAGTTTTGGGGACACGGGGGTGACATTTCTGGGGATGCAGTGGTGGCTCAGGATGACATTTCTGGGGACGTGGCGGTGGCAGTTTTGGGGACACAGCGGTGGCAGTTTTGAGGACACGGTGGTGGCACAGGGTGACATTTTTGGGGACACGGCGGTGGCAGTTTTGGGGACACGGCAGTGGCAGTTTTGGGGACACCAGGGTGACATTTCTGGGGACACGGCGGTGGCACAGGGTGACATGTTTGGGGACACGGCGGTGGCACCTTGGGGTCGGCGCTCAGCAGGTTGAACCAGAGCACGGCGGCCCAGGCGCTGGAGAGCTGCGCGTTGTTGGAGATGATGACGAAGGGCAGCGTGCTGGTCTGGGGACAGCGGTGACAACGGGGACAGGAGGGGACAGGGGACAAGCCGAGGGTCAGCCCGGCCGCCTCCATCCCCCCTGAACCCCCAAATCCCCCCGGGACCCCTCCTCACCTCCAGATCCAGCTCCAGCTCGCCGTAGGCGTAAGCCAGCGTGAAGGTGATGAGGTGCAGCTCTTCTGTCACTGCCAAGGGACCCTGCCGGGAGGTGGCACCGCTGTCACCGCTGTCCCCGCGACCCCCCCGACCCCTCGGTGACCCCTACCCACCTCTCCAGCGCCGCCTTTGCCTTTGCCGGCCCTGCTGTCCTTCTGCTCCTTCAGCGTCTGCGGGGAGCGAGCGGTCAGCGCGGGGCGGGGGGCGAGGGGAGGGGGCTGGGCAGGGTCCGCCCCCCGCCGCCACCCCGGGCTGGGGACATGGGGACATCGGGGACATCGGGGAGGGTCCCTACGAGGTACTGGAAGTCACAGACGAGCCCTTCCTGGGGACTGTCCCCGGCCAGGAGCGTTTTGCTGCTCGAGGTGAGGATGTTGAAGCGGCGGAACCTGAGGAGGGGGAG